ACGCCAGCCGCCATCACGTCTCCCTACTGCCGGCTCCCCCCAAGTGTTTATTTAAGCCAACACATTGCTCTGCTAATTGGATAACATTCCATGTGAAAATAGACCTTTTAAAACAACAGCAGCGGCGGCAAACAAAAACAGCTGCAACTGCAAAAGTACAAAGGCTTGGTGGGCTCGGCGAAGGGAGGAATTAAAGGCGCACGCGTGAGAAAAAACGAGTGTTCTGGTTTCCGGGCCGGGAGGCTGCTCTCTGCCTCCTTCCTCACCTTCCTCTGTGACCAGCAGGTCTAGGAAAAGGGAGAGGAAGTGGCAGCTTCTAAATGGAATCCCAATGGCTATTGGCGGCCTCTTGGCCAACGAGCACGGGCACACCTGGATGGGAATCCCAGGCCACCTGCCCAGGTGGAGAGCTGCTGCCGCCTCCAAGGCTTGGGAGAGCTGGAAGGAGGCGGCGTGTGGCTGCGGAGGCCACTAAAGGAATGCCTGGTCCCTCTCTGGGGCCGGGAGGAGCTGATTTCATGCTGGGCTTGTTCCCAAGAGATGTTTTAAGGGCCAATCTCTTGGCCTTCCTCCAAAATGTCTAATTGGTGAGTCCTTTTCTTTGGTGAGGGGTTGGGGCTGGGTGAGAGGTGATGGGTGTGGTGGAGACAGGAGGGGGGAGGGGCTGGCGTTCAACTTAAGTAAATACATGAATGAAGGGAGGAAAGGCTGAATACGTGGGCCTTGGAATCAGGTAGACACGTGGAGCTTCCCAGTGCTGGCACGTGGCACCATCCCTCTGGACCTCGGTCTCCTCATCTGCCAAGTGGCTTCCTACCACCTATCTCCCAGGGTCCCGGGGGGATTTAAAATTACGCATGCAAATGCCCAGCACCGTGCCTGCCAAAGACAGGCTTCTAGAAGTGGACAGTTTTCTATCAATGCCAAGAGGCTGCCCTTCCAGAAACATCAGGGCCCAGAGAACCGCGTGGAGCCCGAAGCACTACAGACAACATCCATACGCGCAAGCGCAGACCCAGGCCACCGGGGAAGGCCACGGGGCATTCAGGATGCGTTTGTGTCCTTGACTTCCTGTCTGCCATCAACTTTTGTCCCTGCTTCCCTCCAGCATGTGGCGGAGGGTTCTTTGAGAAACGCAGCCTCATCACACCTAGAGGTTTAGATAATACCGGCCCTTTCTGAGGAACTGACATTCGTGCCAGGGACACCGGGAGCTGATGAAGGTTCTAGGGTGGGAGAGCACGCCAGCTCGTGGAGCCTGTGATGGGGGCAGGCAGCCAAGTCCACCCCCAGTTTGGCATCCCAGCAACAGAGCCACGTCCGGCGTCCCGGCGGTTCCCAGGACTCTGTCGCAGCTGCACACACGGAGCTTAGCAAATGCTTGGAGGAGCCTGGGAGGGAGTTACGCAAATCTCCCACAATCCCGGGGCTGCTGCTAGTTGGGACGACACAACATGTGTGTGGTATACGTGTCACATACAAAGGCGGCGTGGCCGGTCGCGGGAGCTCCTGGCCATTGCCGTCAGTTGCCTGGTTACTCTGAGCTCTGCCACAACAGGCTTCGTGGAGCCTCACGCTAGGGTTCTCCTTCCCGTTTGAGGGTGTGTGTGCTTGACCCAGAAGGGCCTGACGGATGATGGAGTTTCCAAGGATGTGCGGGGTGGAACATGGGAGTCATGGAGAAAGGCCAGAAGACTCAGAGTCCCGGGGTGTGGGGAGGACACAGACGGCCCGTGCTTGGGGCCGAAGGGAGACAGCGGTGCCAGGGAGATGCTTCTAGGGACTGGCCGGGGTGCCTAACTCGTCTCTCCTCTGCCAGCTGGCGAACTGGACTGGTTGATGTGGGAGAAAGAGCACTGTGCTGGGAGTCACGTACCTGGGTTCAAAGCCAGCCTGGAATCTGTTAGTTTTTTCACTGCTTTCCAGACTCAGGGTTCTACAATCAGCCTTTGCTGCCTCCCTGCCCTCCCCTAATATGTGCCCACCCCGCTTCATCTTTTCCTCGCATCTGAGGACTGCTTGGGGCCCCAAATGGAGGTTTACATCTCCAGGCTCAAGTGCTGCTGATGTCAAGAGAGTGATGACCACTTATCTTCACGGAGGGTGCCCCGTGGCAGGAACAGGGGGCAAAGCCCTTGATGAAGGGCTCGAGTGGTCTGCGTTCAGTCAAGCCCTGGGAAGTATTTCTAAAGCAGGTCTTGTTCCTTGAAGATTCACAAAAGGAGAGCTGCTGGGGGTGGGAGGTGGGGTGGGGGCTTGTCTTGAGAAACTGGGGGTGCTGGAGGTTCCTCTACCAGCCCTGAGCATCAGTTCCTTCTGTTGAGATGAAATAAGATCCCTGGGGTTTTCTTACTCAGTGTCTCCTGGCAGCACCACTCTCCCTCTTCAAACTCACGCTCACCCTCGAGCTAACCAGATATTTACAATATTCAGAATTCTATTCACCAATATGCAGCGTGCACGGCTCTATGGGTCAGTGGAGAGCGCTAAATGTTCCACTCGGGAGACAATAAAGTTCTTCAGACAGACGGGGAGAAAAAGAGGGGAAGCCACGGCAGCTTCTCCGGGAAGCAAAAAGAGCAAAGGGATCTTTGCAGGAGAGGTGCGCTCCTGGCGGACGCGTACTTTGTGGAAGACCAGCTCACTCGGCGGCGGCACAAAGGGCCCGCATCCCGGTGCGGCGAGGGGGCCAGCGGGGCCAGGACAGCTCGGGGGCCAGGCTGCCACCTGTCGGAGGCGAGGGTCAGCAGGGGCCAATCCCGAGGGGCTGTGGACTGAGTCCTCGCTGTCCTCGGCTGCCCTTTCTCCTCCTGGAGCCCAGAAAGGCAGGCAGGGAAGGGATGGAGGGGGAGGAGCCACCGCCATAAATCACCCGCAGGTAGTATGGCGCTTTGGAAAGAGCATTTGCAGCCTGGCCTCTGGTGCCAGGTGCTGGCCAGGCGGGCTTTGGCACTGCCCTGCTGACCTGAGAATCCCCGCTCTGTTCTAAGGATCCCAGGGAACAAAGCCATACTGACCACAACCTGGCGATGAGCGCGTGGAATTTCAAGGCTGAAAGTCCACACCTGGTCCGACCCTCTGGGCCACGAGAGCCACGTTAATTCTGACACCAAGCTCGGCTCTGGCGCGAGGCTGCCGTGTGGAAGGAGGTTGGCGTCTCGCTGAAGGGACTCTGACACCTTTCCTCGCTGCTCCTTCCTTGTCCCTTCTTTTTAGATCATCACCATTGTCACCATCAACACAGTCATCCTCTTTGCCACAGCTAACAGAGTTCACGGGGGCCAGATCCTGTGCTAAGACTATCATCCCATCCAAATCTCACAACGACTTGATGGGGAAAATCCTATCACCGTTTTATAAGGGGGAAACCGAGGCACAGAGAAAGTGAGTCACTTGCCCAAGGTCACACAGCAGGTAAGTGGCAGTGCTCGGATTCAAACACAGGCAGTCTGGCTTAGAGTCTGTGCTCTAATAGCCACCGCTTACACTAGCCCTTAACAGGAGACCTTTCTCAGGGGCAGGGAGTGAACCCCCCCCCACCTCTCCCCTAGTCACAGTCTCATGCAGGAACCCTGATAAAAAATGGATGGCAATTTCTACACCCTCACTGCCCAATCCCCGGAAGCCCAGGGCTCCACGGACACAGTGGAGAAGCACTGTCCTGCCTCCCCGCGCTTCTCTGTCCATGGATGGAGGGATGGCAGCCCTGAAGGTAACGAGGAGGAAACAGCTCACTTGTCTTGAGCACCACGTGCCAGGACCGGTATCAGGGCTTCATGGGCACCATATGCCTTCACCCTGTGAGCGAGGGACTGGTCACCATTCCTGTTCTACGTATGAGGAGACTGGGGCACAGGGCAGGGCTAGGGGAGCTGAATGGCCAGCGCTAAGAGCTGGTGCTCTGGACGGCTGTTTCCTGGCTTCCCTCCGAGCCAGTGGGGGCCCCCGGAGGTGTCCGCCCTGCTGAAGAGCGTCAAGGCCGTGGGCCGGCTGCTTGTGGGGGGTGCTGCCCCTGCCGTCACGATCGGAGGCGAGGGAAAGCCTGCCAGCCGAGAAGAAAGAGGAGCAGATGTCTGGACAAACGTGGCCACGTGTCAACAAAGCAGGCACTTGAGTTTAGGCGCTGAGACAAAGGTGGCTGGCAGGCTCCCTGAGGTCCCGGGGCATCCTCTTGCCTGTGCGTGTTCCCAGGGCCCACAAAGGCCGCAGCTGTGTCCCTGAGATGTCACCTTCAGCTCGTCCACATCAACTTGCTGAGAGCCAATGCGTGTGATTCCAACAAACACTCTGCTTTTCTGAAGATGCCCCGCCAGAGGCGGAGGGGATCCCAGGATTAGTGAGACCTGCGCACTGCCCTACTGTACCCTCGAGGGAGGACAGGCCGAGGTGGGAGGCTGCCCACGGCGACAGTGCCACGGACACAGCCGGAACCCCAGCCACACAGCCTCTGCCCCTCGTCTGCTGCTGGGGAGGGCGAGGACCCAGGACCCACTGCACTGAGCCCAGACCCAGGGAGGCTGCCCTGCTTCAAAAAGAAAAGGTGTTCTCTGTCTCCAAGGAGCCTGGAGGAGTTCTGCGCATGTGCTTACACACAGCAGTACCTGCCTGGGCTGACCTCACCTGAAACCAGCTCAAAACAGAAGTCCCAGGTGCCAGCGCGAAGAAGCGGGGAAGAGGTGTCCCCACGGGTTCACGCTGGGTGCCTTGTGGCTCCTTTCCGAGCGCTGCCCCTGCGTTCCCCTCCACACTCTGCACAGCACTACCCACATCTTCTGTCTGACCTGGAACAGCCTGGGACACAGAACTGCCCCTTCCTCCAAACACAAAACCCAGGGTCTTTTCCTCCAAGGATGTTGTACTAATTAGCAGGGCCGAGGGGGGGCAAAAAAGAGAAAACCTGCATGGTGTGGGGACGCGCCCACATCTGTCAGGAGGCCTTGCTGCTTCACCTACAAAGGGCCCAGGAAGGAGAGGCCGGGCGGGAGGGGCCCTGGACTCACCTTTGCGTCCTGCTTGGTGAGAAAGTCGACGAAGCCGAACCCTCTGTGTGTGCCTGTCCCGGTCATCTTCTTTGGCAAGCGGACGGTCTTCAGCTCCCCGAAGGTGCTAGGAATAGAAACACGGGGTTTTAGAACCAAGGCCTGCAGAGGGGGTGGGGGCGGGGCAGGACTGAGTCTCACACGCTAATTCCTTCCCATTAGAAGAGAGGCGTGCCCGCAGGTGCACGGGTGTACATGTACCCGCACACACTTGTCAGCATCAGCTCCTCACTGCCCAGCATGAGGGGCCTTCTCCCTCCAGGCCCCGACCATCACCCTGGGCAGGAAAGCAACCATCAGAGTGGTCCTCCCCTTGCCCCGAGTGTGTGTGTGTATGTGTAAACATGTGGTGGTGGGGGGGTAATCCAGCCTTGTGCACCCGTGGCCAGGCTGGGGAGGCACCGGCCGGGGCTCCAGACTCGGGGTCAGCATGGTCCCCTGACCCGAATCCACCTCCGCGGCGGCGCTGAGTGAGCAGGATGAGTCCCTTCGCCCAGATCCTGGACATGAGACGCTTCTGCAGTGGTTGGTGCTTGAGTGACACACAGCTACTCCGTCTAAACCCCACTCCTCCCGCCCCTGGGTTTTGATATCTGCTAAGCCAAAGCTGGGCAAAGCTCTGGAGGAGAAAATGGCTTGGCCACCCCCCTGACAGGGATCAAACAGGTAAACACAGCCTTGGACCATCCTCCGAGTCCCCCCTCCGTTCTCCTCCCAGATAAACCTTTGAGAAATTCCCGGACAAAAGGATCGGTCCTCCCTTGCTTTCCCGTCTCACTCCCCCGCCCCAACCTCATCCTCAGGTCCATTTATCAAATATATACGCACAAATTGCTGCCGATAAATATTTAATGTGCACGGCATCTGAAGAGAGGTATTATTTTATTTGAAAATCGACACACACTCGCGGGCACCTGGGCACACGCACCGACACGCGACGGTCCAGGATGCCTCAGGGCCAGAGACCGATTGGGCAAAAAACACAGGAAAGGCCGTAGGCTCTCGTGAAATGATCTAAGCTAAATCCGAGGAGTTAACCTGCAGCCCTGCCGGCATGACCAGGCATCCGCCAGCCCAATTTCTGAAGGCAGGACGGTGTGTAAATGCGGCATTATGAAGCCTCAAAATGAATCTGCACGTCTTCGTGGCGCTTGGCCCGGCAGCTCCGCTCCCCCTCCTGGCGCCTCTCTGAGCAGGCGACAGAAACTGGGCTGCTGGCGACAAGGCCAGCCTACCAGGGAGGGGCGGGGCTGGAGAGGCCGGGCAGGGGAGCCCCGTGGGTCTTCCCAGCCCCTGGCTGAGGCTCGTGGCCGCCTTGGAGGGGCCGGGAGGCTGGGCAGGTGCAGACAAGCAGGAAGGTGAGGGGGAGAGCCCAGCGGAGTTAGGCCCACAAACGCTGCTTTATTCTGCCACCTAAAGGCAGACGCGTCCCACGACAGACACACTGCCTATTTCTCCATCAAAGCCCCAGTACCTCTGCCAGGGATGGCCTTGGACACGGGTGGCAGGGGATGGACACATTTTCTTGTCGGTTCCTTCAGATAATTATAAATGCTCCTGGGGGAGGAGGGTACAGCTCAGTGGTAGAGCACGTGCTTGGCATGCACGAGGTCCTGGGTTCAATCCCAGTAGGTCCATTCAAACAGACAAATAAATAAACTTCAATAAAATAACCCCTCCAAAAAGATCATTAAAAAATGTATATACAAATGGTCCTTTGGCTCCAAGTTCTTCAGAGAGTCACAGGGACCACAGAGACGGTGCATTTGATGGATTAAGAACCAGTCTGAGAAGGCTGAAAGGCACAGGGAGGCCTCAGAGAGCACCCGCTGTGCGTTTGGGTCACGCTGGTGCTGGACAGACACGGCCACAAGCAACCTATGATGTGCTGGTCCCTCTACCCGGTTATCCACCCCACCCCAGCCTCTGGGCTCTTTTGGGCCTCGGCTTCAGCGTTGCTTGCCCTGAGCAGCTTTGGCCGACCTGCCCTAGGCTGGCCTGGATGCCCCCTCCACGGGCAGGCGGCACCCTCTGTGTGCTTCTCAGCCAGGAGCGCTGCGGTGTAGACGCCTAGGTGACTCACTGCCTTCCCCTGGGGCTGGAACTCAGCTCTGCGAGAGCGGAAACCATATCCACAATGCTCATCACGGGATCTGCAGCAAGATGCCCTGGCCTGAAGGTACTTGGGGATGAACGGAGGACAGAGCCCTGGAAGGGGAGCATGACTTCTGGGACATCACACCTACACTCACAGGGTTGTGATGGGGATTCCATGAAACAGGCCATGAGGTACGTATGAATAGCACAAATGTTAAATATTATTAGTCCCACTGCCCCCATTTTACAGATGAAGAAACTGAGGCTCCAGGAGGCAGTGGCTCTTGCGAGTAAGTGGCAGGGCTAGAACGTGAATCTGGGAGCATCTGATGTTAAGCTGGAGCTCTCTCCACTGCACAGTGTTTCACCCCCTTCAGTTATGGCCAGGAGTGGGGCCTCTTTCTGAGGCTTGGTCTCGTTTGACGTGAAGCAGGAAGGCCACGTATGGGAGTGAACAGGATTGCCCTGTGCAGACTCCAAGGGGTCCAATGACTTGCCCAAGATCCCAGGGCAATGGGGGCAGACTGGGTCCTAGTTCCTTCTACCTGCTGCACCGTGTGCACCCTCCCTGCTTCTGCACATAGGGGCTGCAACCTCCTGTCCCTTGATGGTCTCAATGACCCCTGCCCAGATTTCTTCTTAGCTCTGCCTCATTTCTGGTGAGCTTGCCTGTGTGTGTGTGTGTGTGTGTGTGTGCGTGAGAGAGAGGGAGAGGGAGAGAGGCTGGTGAGGTTAATTCCTCCCTCTCCGCAGCACACTGTGAGCTGTGGATGCTCTATGCATGGTAAGCAGCTCAGGGTCCGGAGAAAGGCGAGGAAAATAATTAAAAGGTGGAGAAAAAAGCTGATGAGGAGAAGCTGAAGGAGCCATGCTCATGTGGCCTGGCAAAGTGGCATTTGAGAGCTCGGTGGGGAAAACAGTGATGGGGAGGCTCCCTGCATCCCACGAGGGAGTGAGGGTGGGGACCAGGGAGCTGGGGTCCTGTCCCAGGTCATGTCGGGGGCGGGGATGAGGGGGAGGCCACAGCCCCGGTCTGGGGTTTCCAGACAGACATCTGCATGGCAAAGGGAATGCTGTGTCCAAAGACCCTGGGAGCTTAAAAAAAATCCCACAATTCTTCAAGGATCAAGGAAATGGTTCTGGGGAGCACGTTTGTCCCTTCCTTCTGAGAACAGGATGAGAGAGAGTGAAGGCTACAGAGCAGCTGGAAGATTAGGGTTAGATCTTAGGAGGAACTTCCCGATGCCCATGAAGCCCTGGAATGAATGGCTGGAGCTTGAAGACACAGTCATTGCTGCTGTCACCCCAGCGACCAATGACGGAGTGCCTGTAACGTGCCAGGCCTTTAAATATACTCCTTCCAGGTATGACAGTCGTGGAGTAAGAGTCCCACCGCCACCTATTTTTACAGATGAGAAAAACCAAGGGCCGGAGAGGCCAAGTGACCCGCCCAAGCCCCGCAGCCCGGGACTGGAAACCCAGGTGAGTGTTCCCTCCCGGCTCCAGAATGATGCTGGGGAAGTGGAGGGCTCCAGTCGCCTGTGTGTAACTGTGTGGGATAAAATAAAGCCAACACTAATGATCTCAGAGAGATATCGAGAGAGAATTAAAATGGGGGAAAAAAAAAGGGCAGAGGGAGAAAATCGATGAAGTACCTTTAGCTCCTTGGAGATAAGAGATATATAAATACGAGCCATTACTAAGGTTCTTATCTGACAGCCAAGTCCACGGAGCCATTTTTAAGGGTGGCTTTTGCGGGACGTTCTGTGTGAACTGTGTCTCCCGGGAGTGGCGGCCTGGGTGAGGCTGGGCAGGGCCACCAGGGGCCAGGGAAGGAGGATGACGACAGGGGGCACCCAGGAGCTGTCCCCCCCACGGGCCCAGACTCCGGCGCTCGGGGAAGGAGACGCGGATGCTCCCCACTGTGTAGATAATAGAAACCACAAAATAGCAATTACTGTATCAGAAGCTGTGAATAAAGAGGACATACCGGGCTTTTAAACATGGCCCTCCTTCCCTCCCCCACCACGCTCACACTTCAGTAACAAACTCACACCTCACTTTTCCAATTATTTCATTCACCTCGGGTTCACCAATTACTTCCCGACGCCGCAGCCCCGCCCGCTCCGCCACGCTGGGAGCGCGTGACTGGTGGGGATTTGCGGGTTTTCGACAACCGGAGTTCGTTGTCACGTTTCTAATTTCTTTCGAGGTGTAGTGGGAGTGGGAGGGGCGCCGAGGTGTGGAGCGAGGCAAGCCAATTACGCCCGGGCCCCATAAACAAGTCCAGGCATGCAAATCGTGTTTGCACACAGGCCCGAACGCAGACACAGTGTGTGTCTGTGTGTGTCCTGGGCGCGTGCATGCGGGATTTCCTCCCCCTGACCGGACCTGAGCAGCCTTGGACGGCAGCTGCTGGGGAGAAAGCGGGGGGTTTGGCTCTGCTACTGAGATGGGATGAATCAGCCTCCCTCCTCCTGGATTGAAATGATGGGATGGAGGGAAGGAGGTGAGGGGAGATGGAGAGAGCCCTCCAGGGATGCTGAACCTGATATTTTGCGGCTGCTCTGATGCCTGTGTTTGGGGGCTTAAAAGGCAGGCTGTGAGGCCGGCCTAACCTGCCAGCCTGCACGCTGACACCAAGTGGGGGCTGGGCACACCCCAAGGAACCTAGCCCCCTCTGCTCCCCGGACACAAGTCCTTATCATGCTCCCATCTGCTCTGAGAGTCCCAGCAGAAGTGCTGAGTCACGTGGGGAAGTCTGTTGGCGTGACTTCTTCCCACCTGCGCTCAAGGCATTGCTGTGAGGGGAAAAAAAAATCATCTGCCACCCAAGGGACCCGGAATTGGAACAACAGTGTGGTCTGAACAAGAACAAGATGAAGGGGTGGTTTTGTGATAAGAATAAACCGCAGGTTTCTTTCTGTTCCTTTCAGAGCAAGAAAAAAGGGCTAAATCTCTTGGCATTAA